CATAGATTTTTTGCTTGAGGATGCTCCAAAGGTTCTCAATAGGATTGAGGTCATGGGAGGATGGAGGTCACACCATGACTTTCTCTCCTTTTATCCCCATAGCAGCAATTGATGCAGAGGTATTCTTTGCAGCATGAGATGGTGCATGGTCATGCATGAATATGATTTTATTACAGAAAGCATAGTTCTGTACCAGGGAAGAAAGTTGTCAGTCAGAAACTCCACATACTTTGCAGAGGTCATCTTTACACCTTCAGGAACCCTAAAGGGGCCAACCAGCTCTCTTCCCATGATTCCAGCCCAAAACATGACTCCACCACCACCTTGCTGACGTCGCAGCCTTGTTAGAACAGGGTGGCCATCCACCAACCATCCACTACTCCATCCATCTGGACCATCCAGGGTTGCACGGCACTCATCAGTGAACAGGACTGTTTGAAAATTAGTCTTCATGTATTTTTCTGCTCAATGCAGCAGTTTCTGCTTGTGAGCATTGGTTAGTGGTGGCCGAATAAAAGGTTTATGCACAGTTGCAAGACTCTGGAGGACTCTACACCTTGATGTCCGTGGGACTTCAGAGGCACCAGCAGCTTCCAATATCTGTTTGCTGCTATGTAATGGTATTTTAGCAGCTACTCTCTTGATCCGATGCATGGATCTGGCAGAAATCTTCCTCAATGTGCCTTTATCTGCACAAACCCATCTGTGCTCTGAATCAACCACAAATCTCTTAATAATGCGATGATCACGCTTAAGTTTTCGTGAAATATCTAATGTTTTCATACCTCGTCCAAGGCATTGAACGATTTCATTCTTTTCGGCAGCAAAGAGATCCTTTTTCTTCCCCATATTGCATGGAAATGGTGCTCTGCTTAATAATGTGGAACACCCTCCTTTAGTAGTTTTCTTTAAATTGGGCTCACCTGGCAATCTAATTATCACAGGTGTCCGAGATTGTTTTCAGTGATCAAAAGAGCCCTGAGACACAACTGAAAAACAAAATATTTAATCTTTGTGACACTTAAATAGAATTTGCATAATAATTTGGAACAGGGTGTACTCTATCATTACCATGAACGCTCTCATAAAATGTCACTGCAAGGGGGGCGGGGCCTGACAACTAATATGACCATCCGTGTTTTCTAAGAACTCCGGCACCAGTGGGCTAATATACGCAAATCCTGGCTAAACTACTGATGCTACTGGCTCACGGTGACCGGAGAGCGATAAAGGAACAACCGGGGAACAGGATGATACCTGTCCCGGACGATACGATATGAAACTGCCTGAAACGGCCATGCGGCTTAAGCCAGAGTGGAGCCTGATGCCTGGGGGAGGCGGCCGATCTTACGGCAGGGGGCACACTCACACACGAGAGCCCGATGCAGCTCTGCTACCCCCCCCCCCCCTTCTGGACCTGCGGGGGTCATCCCGGTCCTCGCTGGGGACGATTACCCCAACAACACAGCCTGTAACTCACCTAATTCGGAGTGCCCCTGGGACTGCTGCCATGACAGCTCCTGGTTAGCCCGGGGAGAACACAGAGAAACCTGCAGATTGTCACACAGAACAAGCTGACTACACAGCAAGGCTAGAGGCAATATTTACAGCCTTCTGCATAAGCTCAAAAGGCGCATGCAACAGCATTCGGAAACTACACATGGAATTTGTCCATCAAAGCAACCACGAGGAGGGCACAAAATGGCTATCGCACAAACACCTAAGCGCTCACAGGGCCAACGATACCGCACAACCCCACACAAAACCTCAGGGACTCAAGCAACTACTCAGAGCAATCAGCCTCCTCCCGGGCAGGGTGTTCTGTGAGATCAAAAACAGACTCTCCATCTATGTACCCGGAGGGGTTTCGGGAAAGCGGGGCCCCAGAGGGCCCATGGTCCCACCGCGAATGGTGCAGGGACCCAGGGACGCAAGGTAGCGACTCCCACAACAACCCGGGCTGGAGGATCTGAGTGGGCACAGCACCACCACACCAGCCTTCCAGGACACCCACTGAGCCACAGTCCACCGCAGAGCCCCTACTTGGAAAGCAGCCACCACGTGGAGCTGTCCCCAGCCCGCAAGTGGGATTGGCTTAATAACGCAGGGAACAACCGCTTACCACGCAAGCAGGGCACAGGGACATTCCATGCAACCCCGAGCCAACCCGCCGGACAGTTCTCCCAGTGAGATAAATGCTTTTGAACAAAATGTGCCTATGATCACTATGTGCCAATAAGCAATATTTGTTTATACTTATCGTAAGCTTTGTGATTTACCATTTCTGCTCGCAATGGATTAGTCTGTCGCATCAGTCAGCAAGCCCCATAAGCCTGAATTTAATGAGATGTACCCAGACAGTGTAGCCTATATCTGCGTTTAGACACCCCTCTTACCCAACAAGCTGCCTACCATCTAATGTTTAGATATGCAATATTGTCTCACAGGTTAACCTCCGTTGTCTGTCTGTACCGCTACTCCTGGGTGATCGACATTGCAGGGATTCCAGTGCTCCTCAACCCAGGGATCACCCCACACAGCATGTTTATCCCACACCTAGTCTGTGTATAGACCCGCTCGAAACTATGACTAGAAATATAGCCCCTCACATACTGATTTGCTTAGTAGAATGTGATATGCCTGTTTGTATCGGCAAATAATAAGTACTTATGGTTTAGACCATGCAGAAAAACCACTAGAAAATTTTGGTACTTACTAACGTGTAAACTAGCAGTAGGTTGAAGCGCATAAGCCTGTTCAACATCTAGCTTGTTATATACTTTGATTCTCAAAACAAAAAATGTGCAATGTTTCTGATGCCATACCAATGTTATATTCTGTTAAAGTACTTGCTTGCACCAGCTATTGTGGCAGTGCAAACGTGTTTGTTCTCACTATGCACAAATAAAATAAAGATTGACAAAAAAAAAAATGTCACTGCAAACCTGTTTACCTTAATTATAAAAAGGGCCGTAATCCTAACATTTATGTTCCAGCTATAATCTATTATTGTCATATATACTCTCACGGAAGGTCTCCGCAAACTGCTTGTTATATTATGCACTGCAAAAAAAAAAAAGAATAAAAAAAAAGAAAGGAAACTGTAGTTGTGTCTAGTTTATCTAGTATCATCTAGTTTTTGGTCAATAGATGGCGCAATTACATCACCAAAATTTCTTATCCTGGAAGGAGTTAACTAAATTTGATGACGATTTCGACGTCATTTGGCTTATCTATAATGGCCAATATAACTCAAATTTGCTGCCAGCTTCAAAGGTTCACACCAGTCTTCGTGGAGGCGATTTCGATCGTATTTCTAAAATTGACACCTCTTAACCTTAATTTCACCCTATTTCTTACAATGTGACATTGTAAGATTTAAAAAGTTAAAAAATAATTACTGTGTTATCTGGTTCTTGTGAAGCTGTGTGTAAGATGATTCTATTTCACTAACATTTAGAAAGAGTGTTCCATCCCCCTGCTTGCTGTTAGACTCATTGCCTTGTTTACATAACGCATTCCTTAGCTCAGACTTGAATAAGTTGAGTTATAGAAAGACAGAAATTTTATGTCATTCTTAGCCTGAAAATTCCAAAATGGAGTCAGCTTTGCTTTAAGTGTGACTGGCAATGTACACTATTAATTTCTATCTTAGCACAAAATGTCTGCCGATATAAATATACTGACATAACCCCCCTTAGTGATTAATATAGCAATGATTAATTTAGTCTATGAATAAGCACTATAGAAGTTACAAGACATATTATGCACTCACATCATTTCTTCTGGCATCAGCCTGTGTGTGTAATGAACATTTTTACATATTTTTGTACCTGTAAGAGCTTTGAACCTTACACTTAGTACAATTAACCATATTACCATTATTATCATTGTACACCCATTAACAATTTTAACATGGATGAATCAGTCAACACGAGCAATAAGGTCAGTATCTAGCTCAGAGTATTTAAATGTGTCCACAGAAATGTTATATTTTCTGATTGACATTTGGATAGTGTGGTTGGGCTTATGATCTAGCAAGAACTTTAGATTAGGATCTAGTGGGATATCTAGATTCTGGAAGGGATCCACCATCTCAATAGCCCTTTGAATGACGTCAGTGTACACCGGGTATAGCGTAATGTCACCGATGGTGATATGAGAGTCGTGGGGTACCTTGATCAGTGAGACAGGTGCTGGTAAGGCAATTACTTTATTAGTCACCTGGTCCCTGCGAAAAACACTCATGTTTTTCAGACATGTGCTAACCAACCATTTATCTTTTACTAATATAGCATGTACTAACGCATCATCGTTGGTTTTTGACATAGTTACTTGACATGTTTCAGAGCCATGTTTAGTGTATTCGATCCCACACAAAGCATTGGTAGAATCATACACGAAAGGTTTTCCATCACACTGGAAATTATTGTCTTTGAATTTTTCACCGTCATTCAAAATGGGTATTGAATACCAATCTGGTACCCACGATTGAAAAGCCAAAACATTTGGGGTTTGGACTTTTACGTGGATATCTTCCTTCCATGTACCGACATTGTAAATTGTTTTCATTTGAAAAATGTTTTTGGGAGTTACATATGGTTTGGCCAATAAAAACCAAATCTCCAAACGTTCCGGATCAATTAAGAGAGGTATAGCACTCCCCATCTAAAAGGCCAGATTTAATTTCATAGGTTCAATTGTCTCTCCATCCACACTGGCAAGCATCGCATGAACAATATTCTTGGATACAAAATACAGAGGTATGCGTCCCCCTGTCAATTCAATCATTCCGGTTTGCACTTCGTCAAGAAAAGCAAGTGTGTATTGCACCATGCAGAAATAAAAGTTCACGCTTAAATAAGTCGTGACTCTGGTGCAACTCAGTGGACTTGGCAATTAACTCTGAATGCAAATTTGTTGTAACAACTGTGTCTTGCACAATAGTTAACACGTCCTGGAGAAGTGTTCTTTCCTGTTTTATCACCTGATGAATATTTTTAATGTGCTGCTTTAGTGCATAGATTTCCATATCCAGTTTCTGGACAGTAATAGAGTTGGCTGCAGACATTCCGGTTGCGACAACTGCACTGACATTGGCACAAACTAAAGCAACATTTGTAGCGGTGAGGAACCTTTAGGGGCAGTTGCTCATCAAAATAGTACTGGATACAAAAGGTTTCCGGGCTTGCTCCAAGATGTTTCGCACACGGTCCTGTGCTCTTTGGAGGTACCAAGTTTGTAATACAGGAAGCTGCATCGATGAAATATTGTACGGAAATCTTGGGGTCCAAGCTGATGAGCACACGTTGGGTCAGGATCCTCTTCTCTGTCAAGATGAACAGTGGTGTCTCTTGAATCAGGATGCCAGAGGATGGTCCCATCTCTGCGATAGGATCGGTCTGTAGCTCTTGGCACAGGAGCAGCACGATCCAGAAACACACCACATCCTTCTTGGACATCTTTCGACAGTCACGGATCAGGAACTTGTCTCAGACTTATCTACTAATGATTCAATGGTTGTTAAGCATACAAACTTATAACAGTGTGACATTGCTTGGCCTAGGACAACACATTGTTTACAATTCATCAACGTTATGTATTCTGTCTAATTATACTTTTATAAATTCATCCCCCACTACATGTATTACTGACTCCTCTATAATATGCCTACAGCAGCTAAACAAGCTAGTAACCTGCTTAGATATGTAGTTATTGGATGGCAAGGAAATGGTTAATGACATGAACGTACATGAGATCATGGCACATCACAACATTTCACATCATACGATACCACGTGATTCAAGCATTCATCCAGGTTAGTCGTTCACTCTTCTTCATCCGAATCCACACCTATAATCCTTAATTAAGATTTAGGATGACAAGCACGCAACTGGTTAATGTGAACCCACTTTTCAATAAAATCACCATCCTTAGGAATTTTTATCTTGTACGCTACTGGGGAAATTTTGTCAATGATGACATATGGCCCTTTCAAGAAGGTAAACATTTTTTTTCCTTAACTTGATTTCGCACAAAGTTAAAACAGATAGACTTGATCTGTTCTCTCATATTCCTTTTTCGTGGTTATTAAATCGTAATAGGTCGTAATAGGTGCTGCTTTTTCTAGATTCTTTTGGGCAAAAGCAAGCGCATGCTGTAAGTGCTTGCGCAAATCTTCGATGTACTGATGTGTAGTGGCAGCATTGACCAAGTTATGATCCGAAGTACGATATAGTAAATGCTGTGGTAAAACCATCTTTCTTCCTGTCATCAATTCAAAAGGTGACAATTTGGTAGCAGTGCTTGGTGTAGCTCTAATTGCCATTAAAACTAGGGGCAATTTGATGTCCCAGTCTTTACCAGACTCCTTAACATACTTCTTTAGAATATTAACGATAAACTGGTTATATCGCTCTAACCCTCCCTCCCCCCCGGCTAGACACAGAGCGGTATGCAATATGTAGCTTTCGTTTAACACCTAGGATTTTCCACATCTTAGCCATTACTTCGTTGGTAAAATGACTTCCTCTGTTTGACTTAATTCTTTGAGGCAGACCGAACCTGGAAAAGACATGGTTAATCAACAAAGTGGCGCACACGGTACTCATGTTCTCTTTACAAGGTAAACACTCTATCCACTTTGTGTATATACATGTAACGGTTAACATGTATTTGTTACCTCTTGAAGATGTTGTTACAGGACCTATAAAGTCAATTTGAATAACAGACCAGGATAATGACACCCCCCTCTTCTGAAGTGGTGCACGATGGGAATATGGGGTTGATATTGCGGACAAATCAAGCATCCCTGACAGTATGTCTTTACATCTCTTAACATGTGTGGCCAATATGCATAATCACGCAATATCTCATATGTGATCTTATCACCATGATGCCCAGATGTAGGTGCATCATGTGCGTGTTGGAGCATTAACCCTCTGTATACAGTTGGGACTACCCATTGTTGTATGCTATGTTTAGAAGTTCTGAGAAGAAATCCATCCATGATACTAAATTGGACTTTATATCTTATCAAGATTCGTAAATCTTCATTATCTTTGCAATCCTCATCCGTGATGGGATTGGCAGTGGGGTCTTCTATATGTCTATAGAATATGCCTACAATTGGATCGTTCTTTTGACTGATAATCAGGTCCTCACTAGGAGCTTCTTGACTCCATTGCACAACATTTAAGTCGGCATTATCTCTAGCCTGTCGCCTAGTTATGGCTTCAACATGAATTGAACCCATAAGATCGTCAATGTTTAGGGTTTCACCATTGATGGCATCTTATTTTGCCAGTGAATTGGCTAAGTCATTACCTTCCTTGTCAATACCTTGTATTTTAGAATGGCCTTTGGTTTTCTTCCAATGTATGGTTAAACCATTTTCCTTAACCAGTTCATCGATTTTACAAAACAATTTCCCATGTTTAACAAGTTTGTTATTGCTTTTCAGCATTTGGTTACGTTTCCAGCTAGGCAGATATTCAACAAAACTGTTGCGAACATAGTTGGAATGAGTTATGATAAAAAATTCTTTGATACCATATTCTATTACCATTTGGATGGTCTTATATACTGCACAGAGTTCAGCTATCTGACTGCTTTTGGAACCGATATTGTATCCTATAGATACATTGGGATAATCACCTGTCCAGGCGATTCCGATAATAGCAACTAACTTCCGTTCATTACCAGCGGTGTGGTGATATGAACAACCATCAATGTACACCCATGGTAGTGGTCGACAGTATTCCTCGTCATAAACTTTATAAGGGGATAGCAATTGCTCTTCTAGGAAGTCATCTCCGGTGTCATTATCATCCAGAGATGGAGCAGTACAGTCATGTAATTCTGCTAAACCTTGGGCAACTGGGCTTCTCTTATTATATTTATAACAGACTTCTAACAGCCATCGCTGTAAGGATAGAGTCCATGCAGTAATCTGACTGTTAGAGAGATTACCGTCTCTGATTCATTCATTCTGCAGATACTGTAGAGGTTGGTGAGCAGTTTCTACAATTATTTTCTCACCTTGGATATAGCTACGAAGATTTTGTAGTGCCCAAACAGTCGACAATAACGCCTTCTCACACGTGTTGAATTTAACTTCCACAGGTGACAAAGTCTTGCTAGCATATGCAATAACTTTGCTTAGACCATCCTGTTTCTGATACAGAACAGCACTTATGCTTAAATCGATATATCCTGTCTCCAGATAGAAAGGTTTACCCCCCTCTGGGTATGCTAAATAGGGTGCCTGAGTGAGCTTCCTCCTCAGTTCACTTACCTCTTGGTCCTGAGGCTCCCCCCTGTTCCCGGTAGTTTCCCTTTTAAGCAGGTGTAAGAGTGGTTTTGTTATTTCTGCATAGTTATCTATAAACTTACAGGAGTAGTTAGTCATACCAAGGAATGATCTTAATTCCCTGATGTTAGTAGGTGTTTTAGTCTGTAGTACAGCTTCAGCCTTCTTCTTCTGTGGATTTAATCCTTCAGAAGTTACCTCATGTCCGAGAAAATTTACATGGATGCAACACCATTGTGCCTCTCTTAACTGAGTGAGAACATGCCTAATCTCTATGATATGCTTACAAAAGGAAGTGCTTTTACGCAAGACATCGTCAACATATGATAACGTTCCTCTCTCGAGTGCATCAGGCATAGCTTTATGCATGAACACAGCGAATTCATGACCAGAGTTTACGTAACCGAAAGGCATACAGGTCCAGGTATACTGCTGCTTTCCAAATGTGAATGCCAATTTATATTGGTCTTCCGAATGGACTGGTACAGTCCAAAATCCCTGCGCACTGTCAATGGCAGTAAATATTTTGTATCCCTGAATTTGCACCAAACATTGGTCTATGTATGGCACTGGCCAACCAGACATAAAGACACATTTATTTAGCTGTCGTAAGTCAGTGCATAAACGCCATTGTCCATTAGGTTTCAGAATTCCCAGGATCAGATTATTATACGACCTGTGCACCGGACGTATAATTCCCCTTTCCTTTAAAATCTGAATGATGTATTGTAGACCATCATATGAAGCTAATATTGTTTGATAAATACAGGTGGTAAATTTGGATCAGTTTGTATTCTGGATACATGGAGGTTAGTTAACCCACAGTCGTAGGAATTCTCGTGATTCCTGCTCATTGAGCGGATGATCGAAGGGGATTGAGGCCTCTTTGATTTTACTCAAGCCTCTTCGACATTAAAGGAATATACAGATAGGATAGTGAATAATCCTTCTAGGGAGGAATGGAATATTTGATAGACAATTTCGTCCTCAGTTAAGTATTCTTCAGGGATGAGGCCTATAATTTGGTTTTGGAAACCAAATGTATAGTACTCAGCATCCAATGCTAGACCTAATAATGTTACTTTTGGTAAAGTAACACGATTGGGTGTAACATTGTTGACTATTACATAGGTGGGATTCTTACCAATACTTACCATTGGTGTATGTATTACCACCATCCCTAATCGTTGTATCCTATTGGATAAATAGATTAGGTCATCAGAGTTTTCCAATCTCTGACCCTTCTTGACCTGTAGGGGTAAAAGAAAGTTGGAATCGTGTATCCAGGTCTCTCTCCCAGTGTTGCATGTACGGGAATACTTCGTCGTCCCCAGGTTCATAAGGGAATTATAACAAAAGGATAGAGCTTTAACGTTCTTTAGTTTCCCTAAGCATTTAAGGACAAATTGTGGTAGGGTTGAGCTTCTCTTAACATCTAGTTTGGTGTCATGTAGTATATTCTTGATGCGTAAGTACGTAAATACTTCCCTGGATGGGAGGGAATAAGCCTGTTGTAGTTCTGGAAAAGGTTTAATGCCTGCAGCGTCATTTATTGTGCTTATGCGGAGAATTCCGCGCTTTATCCATGGGTCTAGGCACATGTTGTGTGTAATGCAACAGCCTGCAAAGGAGCTACGTATAGTAGGTCTTTGTCCGCCCCGAGTTTTGGGATGAACGGTCTCCATGTTTGGAGCCTCAATTTTCTTGGGGGTAGCATGGTATGGTCTTTCACCCTATGTGTGGAGCCAGCCCACAGGGCCATTTCTGCCATTCCATTGGGCACGCCATGTGTTTTCTAACGCAAACCATATAGGGGGAGAGGTTCTTTCCAGTACCGATAAAGCTTGTGCTTGTATCGAGGCACTATAGTATAGTTGTACGTTAGGTATATTTAGGCCGCCTTTCGGGAAAGGTCACTAAAGCAGATTATGCACTATGCGTGGGGGTTTCCTCTTCCATATGTGTGTGTTTATAGTAGTTTGGAATTTCTTCACTAAGGAGTTCGGAATTGCTATGGGCAGGGTTCGGAAAAGATATAAAATGTCAGGATCATCATCTTTACCATGTTTATATGTCCCAGCCACGATGTTCCTTTATCGTCCCAATTTTTAAGTTGGAGGTCTAATTTTTCTAGGAGTGGTATGTGGTTTT